AACAACATCAACACAAGCAGCAGCAGCTCCACTTGGCCCGCGCGGCCCCGGTTAATAAAATAATTAAATAACGCCGACTACTTTAGAGACTCTGTGAGTGTGTATGTGAGTGTCTGGGTGTGTGTATGTGTGTGAGTCTGTGTGTGTGAGTCTGTGTGTGTGTGAGTCTGTGTGTGTGTGTGTCTAGTCTGGCAAAACAACCCCCTACCTCCTCGCGGTGCCGGACGGGCAACTCTGTCGTGGACAGTGCTGTGGGGGGAGATCCAATTTTGATTGGCTCCTCCCCTCATGGCATATGTGTCCACCACAGGGGCTAAACGGGGGCTCTGGACGGGTGCGAGGGGCTGGTAACCCCTCCACCTTCAATTAATTACCACGAAACCACGAGTTAAACTGAAATATGTAACTAATAAGCTTGTGCCGGAGGCCCCGGGGGGCCAGGCGTCTATGACGTCTCCTGGCCAAACCCCAATTGGCGGAGCCAGGAGATTGAATATCCACCCTCGGGGCTCCTCCAGAAACAACGAAAAGCCACTACGGGTGGCCACGTGGAATGTTCGAACGCTCACTGCGGAGGAGAGGCTGCCACTCCTCTGTCGGGAGCTGGACCGGTACCGCCTGGATCTATGCGGCATTCAGGAGGTCCGGTGGACCGGCTCTGGCTCCTGCCACCATGAGGGGTGGACAGTCCTCTACTCGGGGCAGCAGACTGCCAAACAACAGGGTGTGGCTCTTCTTTTGAACAAAAGAATGAAGGGGGCGTGGGAGCGTGGCGGTGAGGTGTGGGAAGCTGTAAGCCCCAGGCTACTTTGGGCTCGCCTTCCCATCAACCGGAGGCGAGGAATGGTGGTCGTGGTTACTTATGCCCCCACCGAAGATGAACATCCATGGAGGGATGCAGGCAAAGCCGATGAGTCAGATGCCTTCTATGACCTCCTGTCACAGGTGTTGGCTAAAGTGGCCCCTCGGGATAGAGTCATCATGTTGGGTGACTTCAATGCCCGAGTTGGTCATAATACTGGCACCTGGTCTGGAGTGATTGGAGGGCATGGGCCAGATCAGCTCAATAACAACGGTAGGAGGCTGCTAGATTTTTGTGCAGCCCATGGGCTTGTAATTACCAACACGCTGTTCCGGCATCGGCGCATCCACACAACATCATGGATGCATGCCGGGTCCAAGCAAGAACATCTGCTGGACTACATAGTGACGGACCAGCGGATGCGAGCCCATGTCCTTGACACCAGGACCTACCGTGGAGCTGATCTGCCCTCTGACCATCGACTAGTCATCTGTAAGATGCGCCTGCCATTCTTCCACTCCGGTGGTGGGTGTACACCCAGGACCCCATTCCAACCTAAAGTGGCCTGGTCTCAGTTATCTGATGAAAGTTGCAAACGAGAATTTCATCATCGCTTGCGGCTGGGATTGGCATCGTCCCCGACTCCTCCTGATGTCGAGGGTAAATGGGCGAGGTTTAGGACTGTGACTCATGCAGCTGCAATGGCTGCTTTGGGTACGCGGTTCAGACCTCCCCAGAGACCCTGGCTGACAGAGGAGGTGTTCAGGATGGTTGAGAAAAAGCGACAGGCCCACTGTCATCGGCTACAGAATCCCACGTCAGAGAATGAGGAGGCTTACCGCAGCCTTCGCTCGGAGGTTCGGAGAGCCGTGAGGCGCTGCAAGGATGGGTGGTGGTCGCGGGTTGCTGAGGAGATGGAGTCTGCCTCAATGGCCCGTGACCACAAATCTCTATTTAACTCCATCAAAAAAGTAACCTGCAGCGCCACACCTATTACCATCATTAGGGGAAAAAACGGTGATCCAATCTCCGACCACAAGGAACAGGTTTGCAGATTTGCTGAGCATTTCTGTGAGGTCCTGGGGGAGGGAAAATCCCTCAGCCAGGAAAACATCGTGGCACAAAGTGAGGATGACCCTGCTGAGGCTGCGGTGCCTCAAATATTGGAAGAAGTCACCCCCTGTGAGTGGCTGGCTGAGGTGCCATCTGTTGAGGAAGTACTGAAGGCGATCCAGAGTCTGAGACAAGGAAAGGCAGCGGGCAGAGATGATCTCCCAAGCGAAATGCTGAGGGAGGGTGGCGTTTGTGCACAGACTGCCCTATATGACATCATAACAACGGTCTGGACCACTGGACGGGTTCCGCAGGATTGGAAGGATGCCCTGGTGGTCCCCCTTTTTAAGAAGGGGGACCGCACAGACTGTAACAACTACAGGGGCATCTCACTCCTCAGTGTGCCGGGAAAGGTCCTGGCAAGGATTATTCAACATCGCCTTGCCAGGCACGCTGAGGAGAGGCTTGCGGAGCCCCAATGCGGTTTCAGGAAAGGGTGGTCCTGAACAGATGCCATATTTTCTGTCCGTCTGCTACAGCAGAGGTGTAGGGAATTCCAACAAGACCTACATCTCTGCTTTATTGACATGGTCAAGACTTATGATACCATCAGTTGGCCTGGGCTCTGGGTTGTTCTGCGTGCTTTTGGAGTACCTGACCCTCTGCTCACGATCATTAATGACCTTCATGATGGTGAGCGGGCCCGGGTAAAACTACGTGGCCGGGAGTCAGAGCCTTTCCCTGTACACCTTGGGGTGCGACAGGGATGTCCTCTGGCTCCCACATTATTTAACATCTATTTTGACCACGTAGTTCATGAAGCCTTCAATAGCTGTACCGGGGGAATCTCCATATGGTACAGATATAATGGGAGGCTGATCGATGCCTGGGTGCGGTCAAGGGATGGCTCCCTATTGCTCAACCACGTTATGTATGCTGATGATTTGGTAATAGCTGCTCATTCAGAGGAGGAGTTGGAGACGCTGCTGCTGAGACTGGAGCGTGCCACTAAGAGGTGGGGCCTTACCATCAGCCCCACCAAAACTAAGCACCTGCCTGGGTATTTTGTACAATCGGACACTCCTCCCCCACAACTCCCAATTGGTGATGGGGCAGTTGTGGAGAGAGTGGAGAGTTTCCCATACCTGGGCAGTGTGCTTATGACTGGCTCCAGTTTAACAGCAGAGGTTTCACTCCGAATCAGTCGAGCGGCAATATCTTTTCATCGGTTGCGTAACGCTGTGTGGAAGCTACCTGGTCTGTCGCTCCGCACTAAGCTTCAGGTCTTCTCGGCCACGGTCATTCCCTCCCTTCTCTACGCTTGCGAAACGTGGACCCCCCTAATGGAACATCTTCGCCGGTTAGAAACATTTAGGCTGGCCTGCCTACGATCCATCCTGGGTTTAACCAGACTGGATTGTGTGAGGAGCTCACAAATCCTTGAAAGATCTGGGCAAGGTCCCATCGGTGAGCGCCTCCGGCGGGCAAGGCTGCGATGGCTGGGTCATGTAGCCCGCATGCCCAGCCACCGCATGCCGAAACAGCTTTTGTTCGGCCGGATTGAGGGGGCTAAGCGGGCGCGGCACGGGCTAGAGAAGAGATGGAGTGATGTGGTACAGGAGGACGTGGAGCTGAGTGGACTTGCCGATGACTGGTACCAGCGGTGTCAAGATCGGCCTCTGTGGAGGAGGCTCGTGAAGGACGCTACTGGGCAGTTGGAGGTAGTCGCCCTCTAACAACAACGGAGGGCAGAGGAGCGACGCTCAGAACGAGCGGAACGCCGGGTGGATAAAGCACAGCAGGTTGGCACAGTAGGGGGCACAGGTGGTGCATCAGCCAGTCATCTCAGTCAGTCGACCCGTGGCACCTGGGTCTGCCCCGTGACCTCCTGCCAGCGGGCGTTCGACACTTCACGTGGCCTCAGGGTGCACATGGCCTGGCACAAGCGTCGTGGTGACGTCACCGCCACTTAGTGGCGAATGGCGGTTGTTGTGTGAGACTGTGTGTGAGACTGTGTGTGTGTGAGTCTGTGTGTGAGACTGTGTGTGTGTGAGTCTGTGTGTGAGACTGTGTGTGTGTGAGTCTGTGTGTGAGACTGTGTGTGTGTGAGTCTGTGTGTGTGAGTCTGGCTCTGCTGATGATGAGACACTGAAACTGGAAACCGGCTTCAACATTCAGGGCCTCATCCGCAGTAGCAATAGCAGACTCTGCATGAATCACCACTCGGTGACCTGCCCCAGATGATTATAGCCCAAGGACTGTCTCATCATCAGCAGCATCATCAGCAGCAGCATCATCAGCATCATCATCACCATCAGCAGAGTCAAGCTTGATGAACTGGCTTCCACATGCAGTGTCTCATCATCAGCAGCATCATCATCAGCATCATCATCATCACCACCATCATCAGCAGCAGCATCATCAGCAGCATCATCATCATCACCATCATCATCACCATCATCATCAGCATCATCATCACCATCAGCAGAGTTAAGCTTGATGAACTGGCTTCCACATGCAGTGTCTCATCATCAGCAGCATCAGCATCATCATCATCACCACCATCATCATCAGCAGCAGCATCATCAGCAGCAGCATCATCATCACCATCATCATCATCAGCAGCAGCAGCATCATCATCAGCATCATCAGAATCATCAGCAGCAGCATCATCAGCAGCAGCATCATCAGCATCATCACCACCATCATCAGCAGCAGCATCATCAGCAGCAACATCATCATCAGCAGCAGCATTATCATCATCATCACCATCATCATCACAATCATCATCCTCAGCATTATCACCACCATCATCAGCAGCAGCATCATCATCACCATCATCATCAGCAGCATTATCATCAGCATTATCACCATCATCATCAGCAGCAGCATCATCAGCATCATCACCACCATCATCAGGAGCAGCATCATCATCAGCATCATCATCATCACCATCATCATTATCAGCATCATCACCACCATCATCACCATCATCACCACCATCATCATCACCACCACCATCACCACCACCATCATCATCATCACCACCATCATCATCACCACCATCATCACCATCATCATCACCACCACCATCACCACCACCATCATCACCATCATCATCATCACCATCACCACCATCATCATC